TCTGATTTAAACACCTCACATCAGCAACAAGCAAATAACATTATTCCATGTAGAAATTAGCATAATGTTTAAACAAGCAAGTCACAAAGCACCATTTGTAAAAATATTTAGTTTTCATTTAAAAAATATGAATATGGTGACACAGACTGTTGCTATCTGACGCGTTTCTTTGTAAAAAAAAAAAAATTACATTATCTTACAGTAAAATAGCACAAAGTAATATATATAACTTTTTATTATTTGTAACTAATAAATAACTCCTTGATTAATGATAAATATCAGTTTATTAACAACTACTAGGGTTGGGCGATGTCAACCAATTTAGCATTGTACGATGTCTAATGTGAAACATCGTGATGGAAGATGGCATCGTTTTCAGAGGCAGTGGTGAATTAATTATTAATGAATACTTAATTCATTCATAGCGAATTAATTATTTGTAGCCTACCATTTCAACTACCTGACCCGCATGGTCTTTGCTTTACCCATAACCAAATCATAAATAAAGATAAGTTGCTCACAAGTTACCACCTGTCAATCACTCTTTCCGTGGGACTCTGGCATGAATAGGCAGAGTGATCTGTGTTGTTATAATAGGGCCGACAAACTTGGTTGGTAAAAAAGGTGCACAACCAACAGTACCTGAGGTTTTCGCTGAAATTACTGAGTACAAGCGTGAAAGCGAAAGATTGAAGCAGTGCACTGACGTTGTGACACTTTACCTGATAGATTCAAAAGACCAAAGAGTCGTTAAATAGAGACAAGATTAATTAAATATGATGTTTAACAACTCTAGTAAGACGTAGTTGTCATCCTTCATAAACTGTCCGACAAGCACTGCTCTCTGAGGATTTGTGCTCAAAGCACCCGCTGACTGCTGGAGCTCAGACGCGCACATACCCTGCAGCGCATGCCTCTATCTGTGTGTGTGTGGTCATGTGCTGTGCGGTTTAAGGAGTATTGTGAGGACAGAGATCTTTTCAGAAATGCTAGACGGTCGGCCCAATAGCCTAGTGCTTAGCGCGTCAACATATGGTGCAGTAGCACGTCAGGGCATCCTGAGATCGAATCCCGGCTCAAGGACATTTCCCTACCCTACCCCCTCTCTCTCTCCAACTTCGCTTCCTGTCTAAATACTGTCCTATCTAATAAAGGCAAAAAAGGCCAAAAAATAAATCTTAAAAAAATAATTAAAAAATGCTAGATGAAACGCCAGTGTGAACCTGGATCATTTTCATATATATATATATATATATATATATATATATATATATATATATATATATATATATATATATATATATATATATATATATATATATAAGCAAATACGTTTAAATTTAAGTGACTACAAACTAAAAAATCTCAACTAAATATTTTATAGTTTTTTCCTTTGATTTTTCCTCTTCTTTTAAAGCTTTTATTCAATACATTTTCCTAACATAAATTTGGGTGTAATAACCTTTGGATTGATATTGTAAGCTATTTTCTTTTTTTTTTTTTCTTTTTTTTGTTAACTTAACTGCAGTTTTGGCTTCAGTACCGGAAAAGTTTTGGCTTCATGTTTATGCCCAAATATAATATTGCATAACATCTTATAAAAAAAAATAATACTTTAAAAGATCTGTGATAAGCTGAGCAATCTATATCATGTATAAATAAACAAGTTTTTAACATATATTTAATAAACTACTATTTTATATATATTTTTCATTTATTTTTACTATTATATAAACCCATAGATCATTTTTATTTCATTTTATTACTTTACTTTGAGAACTACATTAAAACACAAACATTTCAGTATGTAATTTAGCAAGATGCAAATGTTAAATCATTGAGATTTTATTTTGCAAGTTTTTCTTTGGCTGAAAACAACCAGTTCATATTCACTGTTTTTATTAAAAGTTTGGAAAGATACTGCTAGCTGGCACATATTCCTCCTTAACAATTTATATGTATTTAATTAAATCAGTCTCAAGAGATTTCATAGCTGCATTTAGCCATATTAATCCGTATTAGCTCTTAATATTAGTTTTATTTATACAATCAATTATTTCCTCATCCAGATTTTATGAGCAGACACCGCCTCTTTGCCCTCCTCTGAGAAAACACCAGACACAAATGCAGAGCAAACTGCTGACAAGCAGGAAAAAAGTGGAGCAGAAACAAACAAACAAAAAAAAAACTGCCTGTGACAAATCATGATGTACCTACAAAACACCAATCCACATGTATGTACATGTTAAATGTACGTTAAAAAATAAATCAAAAATCAGATTCACAATTCTCTAAAAACATCATACAGACAACCAAAAACTACCTTCATCTGTATGCATCGCAAAGCAAAATTACACATCAAAACACACACACACACACACACACACACACACACACACACACACACACACACTGCAAAAACACAGAGCATGATGCACTAATGATGCATTAATAAAACTAATCACTTCTGTTAATACAGGACACACAGAAATGACAGCATGTGTAAAACTCATGCCGTAGGAGAGGATGACGGTGATTTCATGAAGCTTCCAGAAAGAGTCAGTGGTACTGTGTTCAGGCCACTGACTCAGCAGTTCAGCCCCGTCTGGCCTTCAGAGCAGTAAAAGTGCACATTAACACACGATTACAGTGCAGTTACCAGTGTGGTGTACAGTCCCACTGAGAGACGCCATCCTTTACATCATAAAACCTTAACACACTCATACTGAATCTATTAGCCTTTTTTACGATACTTTAAAGAAGCAGCTCACCTTAAAATAGAAATGTTGTCATTATTTACTCTACCTCGTGTCATCTGTGCACATATTGATATATTTAATTACTGATAGGCCCAGATGGACAACTCCACAGATTGTTGATGCCGTCATTCAGATTACTTAGTGTGTAAATGTGTATAAATGTATATTATAGAGACATATTTGTATTTTACATTCATTTCGGTTATACTATTGTATGATATGCAAAGGTTTAGATGATTTGTGTACAATAAAATTCGTAAAGTTGTAGTCGTGGTTTCTGTATTACATGACAGACCTTCTGTGGCTTTGTTTACCAAAACAACTGGTTTTTATTCCATTGTAAAAATAATTTTAACACTGTCTTTATTGATTTTAGTAGCATTTAACATGTACAATAGAAATCAAAACCAAACATACAAAATAATAATAATAACAATAACAATAATAATAGCAGTAATAATAATAATAATAATTATAATTATAATAATAATAATAATAATAAAAGAGGTAGTAGCAATAATAATAATACTAATAATAATAATAAATAAATAAATAAATAAAATAGAAAACAATAAATATAAAAATTTATATAGAAAAATAAAAAAAATACACAAAAATAATAATAAAAAGTTATACAGAGAAAATATTTGTATCAGCTTCCTTCAGGAAACCTACAAAGGGATTCCAAATTTTTCTAAAGCCAAACAATGAGACAATTCCCTCAACCATTGTATAAAGTTTGGCATTGTAAATCTTTAATAAATAAAAGTTAAGAAGTTATCAGCTCCTATGGTCATACAATAATTCATAAATCAACAGAAATTCTCCACAGAAAAAAAACTGGCTTTGATTATTATTATTATTACTGTATTATTACTATAAACATAGTTTCCTGTAGTCTGTGATTAACTTTCTTTATATTTAGGATATATTTGAATTAAGGGTCCTTGATCTTTGCTCTAATGACATTTGTCACTGAAAACTTGAACAAAGTGACGTTTATTAACATTTATAGCTGTTTAAGACAATACATTGTCTAGGTTGGTCATGTGAATCATTGAACAAATACCAGGTAATAAGCTTCCTGTTATTTGTGGATTTATCAACTTGTCCTTTCAAACTTGTCCTTTCACTAAAAATGTCAATAAAATCCCTTTGCTAAACCGTTCAACATTAAAAGTCATCAGAGCACAGACTAAGATTCCATAATGCAATCTGAAAGTGTAAATGAATAGAAAAAAAAACAGCCATGAATCATGAGCTACAAGCAATTACATTTATTTTTTTTCTATTTTGTGTTCCACAAAAGTAATGTGTTTTTAAAAACAAAGAAAGGTAAATATTTATGATTCCTTTAACAACACAAAGTCCTAAAGAGGATCTACTATGTGAAAATCACTTTTAAAAGGAATTAAAAACAGTTGAGTGGGAACAATGTGTGAATATAACCAGATCTATTTATAAAAATGTATTAATTTTATAATCTTTTATAATCACGCTTGATAAAAACAGTGTGCAGAAACACTTTGATTGACATTCTACCATTGTAATGTCAAGAAAAAAAGCCCCGCCCATTAGTGACGAGCGCTCTGTCATTAGCATAAACAGCCCTGAATGAGAAGCAGCCATCCATCATTTGCGTCTTTACAACATACCTGCTGAAAATAATGTCAGTGACTAAGAGGCATTATAAATGTGGAGTTTGAGGATGCACAAATGAACACTGTAATCTCCATAGACTGCCTCCTTCTGAGACACATTTTTTAGTTTTTTACAGAGATAACGCTAGTCTTGTTTTAAATAAGCAATTAAAGCTCCGTCCTCTTTTGAAAAAAGCACAATCTCATCTGAATTTAAAGTGACAGTCACCAAAATGACACAATTAGGATCAAAGCCTAAAAGGGGCAGTTTCAAAGAGTTTTACAAAATTATTTGTGGCGTATTTTGAGCTCAAACTTCCCATACACACACTAGAGACACCAGAAACTTATTTTATATGTTGTAAAAAGGGGCATAATAGGTGTCCTTTAATTTAATAGAAATAAATGAGGACCCCAAATGCATTTTGCCGGCTGTTAAAAAAAGCACAGGAGAAAAAGAAGAAGTGCTTTACTCCTGGACAGAGTTGAGGGCGCTCATGTTAACTGTGTTTCCTGTATTGAGTGACTGTGGCCAACAGAATGACCTCTTTAAACCAGATCAGCACATGAAACAAGCAGAACTCTGGTGACTTTAACTTACTGTCCTCTCCTGGGCACGGCATACCAGGCTTTTCAGGAATACTTGGAAATACTAGACAGAAGAAAAAAGACAGAGAGAAAAATGAGTGTGGCATTTATTTATTAACTGGCATGAGCTCTGCAAGTATGCTAAATTACAAAGAAACGGACTTTCATCGAATGCTGAATATCCGCACGGAGTACATATGATATTTTGAGTGCTTTGGCTGATTTCCGTTGTGTGGTTTAAATGCTGCATTATGTTGTTTATAAATAGATGTACACAAATATGGAGAAAGTAATTCAACTGCTGGAACAATTTAATAAGGCAGGAATGAACTGATTAATTTGCATCGGTTTGTGTGAATGAGTACCATGCAGGAGGAGTCCAGAGTGCCGGTTTCGGCTGTAGATCCGAAACGCTTCCTCCAGCTCCATCTGGGATGAGATGGTACACGGGTCTCCTAAAAAACAAGACAAGAAGAAGAAAAATGACTAATGTAAACAGGCCATATGATAAAGACATGGATTTTACAAATTGACTTGACTGAATTGGGTTTTAGGATCAACAGAAAAACAGAAAAGCTTATTAATGGTGTATTTTTATTATTATTTTATTTTTTATTTATTATTTAGTTTTTGCTTCTGTTTTTCAATATTTCCACTCTGTTTCTAATATTATACAGTATATATTATTCCTGCAGTATATTATAGTATCATTTTTTATTTATATTTTCTTCCAGTAGATTTAGTAACTTATTACATAAACTTTACATTTTTAATTTTTATTATTTTATTTAAAAGTTCAATATTTTTTTCATTTAATACTATTTAAAAAAAATAATATATATATATATTTACAAAACAAATTATTTATATTTAGACTTAAAAATATACTAAAAATAAAGCACAATGGCATACTGTATTGACATTCATGTCCATAAAATTAATTGATATATCTATTTGGCTTTAATTGTTTCAGTAGTTTTTGTACTTATTTTTAATTTACTTCTATAAATATGATATGATTTTTAAATCCATGTAATATTTATGTTATCATAGATTTATTGGTCTCACTTTACAATAAGTTTACATCAATTAATGTATTTACTAACATAAAAATAATTATGAACAATACTTGTCCAGAATTTATTAATCATAGTTCAACATTTATTAATGCAATATTAAAATCCAAATTCATGCTTGTTAACTTTAGTGTTAATGCACCGTGAGTTAACATGAACAAACAATGAACAACTGCATTTTTATTAACCAACGTTAACTAACATGAACAAATACTGTACTAAATGTACTGCACTGATTGTTTATGGTAGTAAATGCATTAACTAACATTAATAATAAAATAATACAAGCTTATTGTAAAGTGTAACCAATTTATTTTAATGCTAAATTTACGGTGTACAGTGGCTCTGAACTGTCAAAACACCTCTAAAAAAGGCTTTTTCGGACATGACATATTTGTACATGTGTACATCACTGTAACAGATTTTATTCAAGAACATTTGAACTGGTTTTAGTCCTTAGCTCTTTCATTTTCATCTTATTTAAAATCTTATTTCATCTTATTTAAAAGATATTTATCTTGCTTGTTGATTAAATCCCATTTTGTTATTTAACCTATTATTTTTATGCAACTGTCAAGTTGCATGTTAATTTGATATGAAGAAAAGGAAATCATTTATTTTTTGCATGCTGATCTATGTGAAATCGTGAATATAGGTGTATATAATTACCTTGAAATATTGAAATTATAGCTTTTTTGATTTGAGTATACACTACTCAGTTTATCAGAGCAGTTCAATCTTTTATGAAGTTTGCTATATAAAATTATAACATTTTGAAATATTTATAAATATCGGCATATATATATCGGCTATTAGCCCCCAAGTCTGAGGAATTATCGGTTATCAGTATCGGCCAAAAAATCCATATCGGTGCATCCCTAATTTTTATCTATTAAATTTAATGAATTGCATTTATACATTTAAAATTTATGCTAAAAAGTATGTTAATATTTTAACTACATATCTTCTTTGCAAGGAAATCATCAAAAAAAAAAATGTATTTGACTTATGCTTACATTATTATTCCTTCTAGGCCCTTGAGCTTAAAGTCGACATAACCAAAACTGAGCCCATATCTTTTTAAACACATGATCCTGTGAATGATTCACTGGTACATTAACCCAAATAAACAAATCTAAAACTACACACAGGAGCATTCTGAATCAATGTTTTTGCTCACGTCACAAAGGCTGAAGTTCAAGTTTCACACAAACCTTCGTCGTCGATCCATTTGAGTGTTATTGGCGTTTCTTTGCGAACTCCACACATCTCTCTGACCTCCTTACACACCTCTGTGTACGTCAGCGCCAAATCCAGGTCTGAGATCAGCATGTCCCTGCACACAAAACAACCGGATACCTTTATACAGATCTGAGAACTAAAGAATACAAATCTATGAAACTGTAAAATACAACTCTTTGCCTTATCCATAAAGGACGCAAGTAGTTTAAAAAATTAAGCAAAAATAATATATTAAAAAAATATATCAGTAAAAAACACTGTCATAGCTGTTGTAAAACAATACATAGATAATGTGACGGAAACAATAAACAAGTCATGTATTGACTAACACACTAGTCACTTAGAAGCTTTTGTTTAGTAGATTTCAAGTTTTGTTTAACTTTGTAATTATCATCGTCACCTTTAATAAGCATTAACACGGCTCATTTTAAACTGAAAGTGAAAAAAAGCTACATCAAATAACACAAATTAATTGAAAAATTTGTATCGTTTTGATTTTAAGATTTCAACACAATCAAGCACCTTCTATTATCTCTTATTATCAAATTATCTTTTAGCATCAATGGCTAGTATGGGGTGTCAAAATTAATTGATTTTTCGATGCACCGCGATGCAAGAACAATTTGGAATCGGTTCAGTAATAATCAAAACCGGTTATTTTGTACTGATCTCATTAATTACATAGCATTATGTGGCGGTAGCTTACTATGGCGAGAGAGGAGACCGTGAGTAATTAAACGCTCCCACAAATACTTAAAAAGCATGCTGTACACAATTCGCTGCTTGTGAGTTTGATCTACGAGTCTTTCAATGAAAGGGAAGTACATCAGAACTCAGCTAGGAAAAAATAAATGCTGTAAACTCTCTCTCACTCTCTGTGACCCCTTTGACCTGCTGGGGTGTTCGTGAGGTAGCGTTTTATCTCCTCTCTCAGCTGGTACAACAATAACGTTACTTTTGGATCCAGACACAAGCGTGTCTGCAGAGCGAGTTTTCTCCACTCCGTCATCATCTATAATGGGTCAGCTGATTGTCCGCGTCACTGTTTGCTGAACAGCGCAAGAGCTGTGCTGACCGTTAGAGCCAATCGCACCCTTTTTTTTTTTTTTTTTTTTTTTTTGAGCGTGTGATCAATCAGAGGCGTTTAGGAATTCGCTCAACAACGCTCAAAAAGCAACAGGGACAATATTTACATTTGTTTATTTACTATAAATGCTCATGTTGTTCTCTGCATGCACTTTAGTTTTGTTTGATACATTCAAGGAGTTTGCATGTTCTCCCTACATTCGCGTGGGTTTCCTTCAGGTGCTCCGGTTTCCCCTACAGTCCAAAGACATGCGGTACAGGTTAATTGGGTAGGCTAAATTGTCCATAATGTATGACTGTGTGTGTGAATGTGTGTGTGGATGTTTCCCAGGGATGGGCTGCGGCTGGAAGGGCATCCGCTGCGTAAAAACTTGTTGGATAAGTTGATGGTTCACTCCGCTGTGGCGACCCCGGATTAATAAAGGGACTAAGCCGACAAGAAAATGAATGAATGAATGATACATTCAAAAAGAGTGTTTTCTATAAACAGCTAAAATTAAATGTGGGCTACACAGTGGTGCAATGGGTAGCACGATTGCCTTACAGCAAGAAGGTCACTTGTTTAAACCTCGGCTATCGTTTCTGTGTGGAGTTTGCATTTTCTCCCTGTGTTCGTGTGAGTTTCCTACAGGTGCCTTGGTTTACCCCACAGTCCAAAGACTATAGGTGAACTGGGTAAGCTAAATTGTTCATAGTGTATGGGTGTATGGGTGCTTCCCAGAGATGGGTTGCAGCTGAAAGGGCATCCGCTGCAGTAAGCATATGCTGGATAAGTTGGTGGTTCATTCCGCTGTGGCGACCCCAGATTAATAAAGGGACTAAGCCAAAAAGAAAATAAATGAATAAATGAATGAATGAAATTAAAGGTGCAGTTCATATATCTGACTGCTTGAATTAAATGACAAAATTGTATCACAAATAATATATAAAAATAACTATATTTACAAATGATAAATTTTAATACAAGAATTATTGTGGTAATAAGTAAAATAAAAAATTGTGTATGGAAAGCATCGTCAATGCACTGAGATATCGAATTGAACTGAATCGATGGCATGATAATCGTAACCGAACCGAACTGTGAGACCAATGTAGGCTCACACCGCTATTGGCCAAGCTATTATATCTGCCACTTCCTATTAGAAATGCTCCCATCTTTTAAACATTTTAATACAATTCTCAAAACATATCTTTTTGGTGAAGCATTTAAGTCATCATTTTATTGTCGCTTTTATGTATTGTAGTTGAATAAAACTAGACTAAAACTAAAATGATTCAGAAGACTAAAACTAGAATTGAATTTTAGTCAAGACTAAAACTAAATCAAAATTTGCTGTAAAAATGAACACTGGTGACTGCTAATATGACGTAGCAATGTTTTATTATTGTTTCATATTGCTGTAGCGCTTTGAGTGTAAGAAAGGCACATTACAAATAAAATGTATTATTATGATAATTACTTTCATTCATTCATTTTCCTTTCGTCCCTTTATTAAACTGGGGTCGCCACAGCAGAATGAACCGCCAACTTATCCAGCATATGTTTTATGCAGTGGATGCCCTTCTAGCTGCAACCTATCTCTGAGAAACATCCAACACACTCATTCACACTCATACACTGCGGACAATTTAGCTTACCGAATTCACCTGAACCGCATGTCTTTGGACTGTGGGGGAAACCGGAGGCCCCGGAGGAAACTCACGCGAATGCAGGGAGAACATGCAAACTCCACACAGAAACGCCAACTGATCCAGCCGAGGCTCGAACCAGTAACCTTCTTGCTGTGAGGCGACAGCACTACCTACTGTGTCACCATGATTATTATTTATTGACTTAAAGTGCAAAATCGCCCAACAAATCATGCATCTCTTATAAACGGTGTAGCTATAAATGTACTCTGCCTCTTTAAATAGTCCAGCCTCAGCCAAACAAGCCACATCTGTCTGGATACACAAGAGACTTGTTTGGAAGCGTCGGATCCCTGCTCCACTTCCACAGCACATGCAAGACAGAGCCCAGTACAAGCCAAAAACATGAGCTGGTGCTGAGCTCACAATCTCCACAAAAATGCAAACATGCTACTGAGGAATCATTATTACATCATCTCTAACCTCAAAGTGCTTTCTCTGACAAAATATGTACGATATAGCACACATTCTTAATGAAACTACATTTTCGAAGTAACACCGTATATGATAACTTACTTGAATAATATGAGAAACGTTAAAACCAGCGCTGACCTAGTTCTATAGTTAACAGCCTTTGCCTTGTCCTGGATTCATTGCAATAATGTATTAGTGATGTAGCAGATTTTATTTAATGATAGTTTTACACTCTATAGAAGCAGCCAATTCATCTGAAGATGATAAATGAAAGTTATTTATTTCAAGCATACACAAATGCTGTCAATTTTACCAGATTTAGCAATTTTACTAAACAATTTTTTAATCCTCTTTCTTTTTTCCTGATGAAATAAATATATCAAATAGAGCAATGAGTTAATGCTAAAATGTTAATGAGGCAACAAACAGATAATATAATAATTCATCAATTTTCACATCAGTAATTAGTTCTAAAAGTTATATTTCTTTATCTAATAAAAAAAAAATTATTTCATGTTTTGTGATCTTTAATTTATTTATTTTTAATCACCCAAACGTAAAACAAGCATAAAACATGATAATGACCCATAAATATCTTATTAAATGTATTGCAATAAATAATATTATTAATATTGCAGTAAATGCTATATCTTAGGTATTGCTAGGCCCACGCAGAATTCAGCAGATTTCCACAGATTTTTAGCCCATCATTAATTCTGTTTATTTACTTGAGTAAACGTGTGTAAATCTGTTTATTCAGTTTTTAAATTAATTCCAGTAATATTATTGACTTATATTAAAATCTTCATCTGATTTATGTACAATGCAGTTTGTACAGTAACATTTTCTGTCTTTAAGTAGATATATTAGATGAGTGATTTGTTTTGTTTACCAAATAAAGTCAATCTAATTGGATTTGCATTTTAAACATTGAAATAAAGTATAAAAGGTATTACTTTTTATTTCATATATTAAGGTTTTAGTTATGATATACCTAAAATAATTCCGCAGAAATTTTCCGCAGATTTTTACCAAAAGAAATAGCTGATTTTACCAATCAGAAATAGCAAATTGTCCGCAGATTCTGTCTGGCCCGTATTGCATAAGTAATATACTCATTGAATTTTTAAATATTTCGTTAATGTTTAAATGTTACAGTGACGACAATTAATTGTTTTTTTTTTTTTTTTTACAATAAATGACATAAATCATCTTGTATTATAAAAAGCTTTGGTTGAATTCGAATGCTTTTGTGGTCTTTCTTTTACATAAAAATAACGAATAACTAATAATTTAGGCTGAATTTAAACAAACAAATTAAGCTGAACATCACTAAATTTAATTTGTTTGTTTAAATTCAGCCCATATAAATTCTTTACAACCATTTAACTTCAAAAAATGTAGTAAATCCAATGAATATTTTTGAGTGCTGAATAGGAGTATTTTGATGAATAAGCCATTTTATTAACATTTTTTAAAAATTACTGTATATTTTTGACCAAAAATTAAAATTTTCATCATTTATATAAATTATAGTTTATCATTAGATAATATTCACTTATAATTGTTTTTTTTTTCATTCTTTACAACAGTACAGTGGCTGATAAAAATCACACAAACTACAAGCTAAGAAAACATGCTGTCATGAGAGAGGCATGGCTGAACAATGAACAAAGAGGGAAAGCAGATATTGGCATAACAGAGGCTGTGTCCGAATCCGCATACTTCCATACTATATAGTACGCTAAAATCAGTATGTGAGCCGAGTAGTATGTCCGAATTCATAGAATTCGAAAATTACTATGTGAAAAGTACCCGGATGACTTCCGGCGAGATTCTGGAGTGCGCATCCCATGCACGCTGCGCTATCCCACAATGCCCCGCGACAGAATTCATGAATGGAAG